TTTTTTTTTTTTTTTTTTTTTTGTACTGGGTATTTAAGCCAGGGGTGCTTTACCACCAGCCCTTTTTATTTTTTTATTTTGAGACAGGGTCTCCCTAAGTTGCTTAAGGCCTTGCTAAGTTCCTAAGGCTGGCCTTGAAATTGCAATCCTASTGTTTTAGCCTCCCAAGCTGCGGGGATTATAGGTGTGTGTCACCGCACTTGGCCCCCTATCATTAATTTTTATAATCATTCACAATGAAATGATAAATATAATTTATGTAAATAATGTTTCATAGATACTTGAAACAACTAAATCCTCTAAGAATTCTACATGTATTTAATTAGAACAAGTGAGTTTTTAAGAGGTAGAATCATTTTGTTAGATATCAGAAACTTGAACAGTATGTACAGTCAAGAAAACTATCTATCTTCTGAGATATTCCTTAGCCTTCAGAACCTAGATAGCAAGAACTTTACTTATAAGGCATTATCTTCCATTCTGTTGTGTGTGTTTGATTTTTTTTTAGAATTTAACCTTTATTTTATTTATTTGATTTTATGTGGTGCTGAGGATCAAACCCAGTGCCTCACATGTACCAGGAGAGCACTTTACCACTGAGCTACAACCCCAGCCTCATTATCTTCCATTCTTGAAGAAGAACTCATATTTCTATTTGTACATTCTTTCTAAGGAGGGGCTTACCTGTAAGCTTTTCACAGTAGTGTGGGCATGCATTGGAGTGTAAGAGGGTACAAGTTATAATTTTTTCATTGATCGAGCAGACATGTATTGAATCCTTAAAAGTACCAGACACTTGTCCTTCTCCAACTGTGAATGGAGTAGTGGGTAGGACAGATATCCTACACTGCTTGAAAGAGAAGAGACAATGAACAGAAATCATACCAATTGATGAGAAGTACTATGGGGAGAATTAAGATATGATGAAATATAATGGGGGCTATGGTGCACACCTGTAATTCCAGTGACTCAGAAAGCTAAGGTGGGAGGATCAGCCTGCTAAAGCTGGCTTAGCAAGGCCCTCTGCACCTTAGGGAGACCCTGTCTCAAAATAAAAAATAATAAGCTGGGTGTGGTGATCTATGCCTATAATCCCAGAGGCTTGGGAGGCTAAAGCAGGAGGATCACAGTTCAAAGCCAGCAACTTAGTGAGACCATATCTCTAAATATAAATATAAAAAAGGTCTAGGGATGTAGCTCAGTGGTTAAGCTACCTGGGTTTGATCCCATGCAAAAAAAAAAAAAAAAGAATGACCCAAGGGATGATGGGTAGAGACGGGAACAGGTCATCTGAATCAGATGGCAGGAATTGGATTTTAAGTTTCTGTTTTAGTCAGCTTTTTTGCTGTTGCCACCAAAAGATCTGACAAGAACAAATTTAGAGGAGAAAAAGTTTATTTGTTGCCCACTGCTTCAGAGGTCTCAGTCTATAAGCAGCTGATTCTATTGCTCTGCCCAAGGTGAAGCAGAACATTATAATAGAAAAGTGTGGTGGAAGAAGGCAGCTCAGGTACCAGGAAGTAGAGTGTTCTGCTCTCCAGAGATAGATTATATACCCCCAAAAGTATACCCCAGTATATGACTCACCTCCTCCAGCCACTCCCTACCTGCCTACAGTTACCACTCAGGTAATCCCTAGCAGGCTGATTAGGCACTGATTAGGTCAAGGCTCTCATAATCCAATCATTTCACCTCTAAGCTCTCTTGAATTGTCTCACACATGAGCTTTTGGGGGACACCTCATCTAAACCATAACAGCTTTAGTGTGCAGTAGTTTGTGTCAGAATCAAAATATCACCAATGCTCTATTTGTGTGTGATAAATTGTACAGGATTATTATGTCACTAAACCATGGTGACTCATTTATTTGTTATTCTAATAAAAAATTGCTCTTTTCTTTTGTCTTTTAAAAGAATATGGATTGTGCTCAGTTCCATTTGAAAATAAGCTCTATCTAGTCGGTGGACAGACTACAATCACGGAGTGCTATGATCCAGAGCAAAATGAATGGAGAGAAATAGCTCCCATGATGGAGAGGAGGATGGAGTGTGGCGCCGTCATCATGAATGGATGTATTTATGTCACTGGAGGATACTCCTACTCGAAGGGAACGTATCTTCAGAGCATTGAGAAATATGATCCAGATCTTAATAAGTGGGAAATAGTGGGTAATCTTCCAAGTGCCATGCGGTCTCATGGGTGTGTTTGTGTGTATAATGTCTGATTAGATCTGCCAGAATTAACCAAGTAATCACTCTTTGGAGGTGTAGTAAAAAGAATGCAGATTTTGGAGTCTCTTACTTGTCATTGTGGTCTGGCACGTGATAAGAGATTGGTAAATTTTAATTCCTGATTGTATTCTCAAACCCAGTATTTTATGATCAAGAAAAAACTTATGTAAATATACAGATGAATCAGTAGGGTTAACCCCTATAATCTGTGCTTTTCAAGGTAGTATGGAATATTTGACACTTGGTAAAGAACCTTTACATTGAATCTTTACCTCCTGGTAGCATCAGCACTGGGTGTAGGTAGAAATCATTCTTTATACTGAAATATGTCTTAAGAGCCTATGATATCACAGGTAGTGTATCTTAAGGTTTTTGTTTAGCTGGCAGGAATTTGAAATTTGAAGAGGGAATCTTCTCTACCTCTACAAAATCAACAGGTAAAAAATAATTTCCCTTTAGAATTATTTAGAATGTGGACTGATTTTAGTTTTTTTTCCTCTGTAGTGTATATAATTTATTGTTAGTATTCTTTATTTACTGACTGTCAGAGATATACAAAGTATTGTGCAAAAGATTATAACTGTTCAGAGTTTACAAACTAAAATTAAAAGAAGAGCAAGTCTGAAAATTTGTAGAGAAAATAGTCAAATGTTTGCTGATGCTGAAGGCTATTTTTAATGTTCAGCTTTGATGTCAATTGCTAGTTAAGGGGTCTGTAAGCATGTCGGGAAATCCTTTTTTAAGTATAGATACTTTTCTGCATATAAAGTTGAACTTTAGAACCAGAAAGCGTGTAGATCAGTTGTGATATAGTAGAAAATACATTGAGGAGAAGAAATTTGCATTCATTTTCTAGCTGTCATTAACTAGGTTTTGTGACTTAAGAGTCCCTGACCTATGCACACTGGCACTGATGGTTACAGATGTGTCTAGAAACAGATCCCCTTAAGCCTTGAAGCTAGAGAGAAGGCCAGGGTGACTGAAGCCTCCCAGAAACACTTTTGTCCATCTTCCCTTGTGCCTGTAGCAGGGTCCCTCCTATACCTGCCGTAACTTGAGATGAGCTAGGAAGCACCGCTTAAGTTAATTCATAAAAACTTTTAGTTATTTGTGAGACCGTCTATTCCATACACTCCTTTTTTTTAAAGAGACAATAATTGGTTTTCACTTTTAATACTGAAGTTTAAAACTACTTCTCATTAAAAAAAAAAAACAGACTTTTGGACAGTCACTGTTTAGTTCATTTCAGATGACATTTTACATAGATGCAACCCTTTGGGAATACAATGTGGTACTACATAGCAAGGACCATAAAAATGACTGTATTCCTTGCTCCATAAATTCTATTTACAGATTTTTAAACAAAAGAATTATACAAGAAAAAGTAAATGCATGAAGATATTTGTGTCTGCATTATTTGTAATAGCAAAAATGAGAAAAAAAATCTACATGTCAAAGAGACAGCTAATAAAATAATGAAGTATACTGATATAAAAACAATTATTTGAAAAACATGGGCATGTCTATGATGTGATAAGTAAAAYAAGCACAATACAAAACAGTATGTACAATCTGTGGCTGTGAAGTCTATGCATGTGGAAGGTAATATGCAAAATAAATTCATTGTGTTACTGTGAGGAGATATGGAATGATTTTTAATTTATTTAAAATTTTTCTTTAGTATTACTTTGCATTTTCAATAAAAATAAATGAATCACTGTCTACATGGTTAAGACTGCTTGAATTTGGGCCAATTGGGTTGAAGGACAGTCTGAATTAGTGAAACAACTTAATTATAGACTATTTCAATCTATAATTGAATTCTGGACCATTTTCTTGCTCTCAAGAACATTTAGTAATTAATGCTTACTAGTAATATGTTGCCCAGTTGTGTTTTAGAGACAGATGAGGACAGTTGCAGTCACCTCCACCTCCTTACCTTGGTTCTGTAAAATTCTAAATCAACTTAACCTGGGTTCTGTAAAATTCTAAATCAACTCTAACCTTCTCAGAGAATTCTTTCTTGAATGTTTCAGCTTCTTCCAATAAAACTCCCATTGTCATATTCAGAAAATTTATAATTTATGGATGCATAGTAGGTCTCTTGGACAGGTTTGAGATCATGGGCCATGCCTTTTTCTTTAGTGTTCTCAAGGTCCAGCCATTTCATATACATATCCAGTATGGTTTCTTTTTTTTCTTTTTCTTTTTTTTTTTTTAATACCAGGGATTGAACCCAGGTGCACTTAACCACTGACCCACACCGATACCCCTTTTTATTTTCTGTTTTGAAACAGTATCACTAAGTTGCTTAGGGCCTCAGTAAGTTTCTGAAGCTGGCTTTGAACTTGTGATTCTTCTGCTTTAGCCTCTCAAGGTACAGGGGACCATAGATGTGTGTCACCACACCTGGCCCTAGTATATTTTTTTTGAAGGGTAAAAGAATAGTTATTTTTACAGAAAAGCATTCTGGGGGTGATTGAAGCATCTTGAAAATAGATGCTTTGTGATCTGAGGCATTTAACTTGAGCTTCTAAAAACATTCCTTTTTGCTAATGATTTGTATGCAGAACAGAGGATTAAGGAAGGTACACAAATTCCTGTGAGTTATCTCAAGTTTCAGATTACTGCAGTATGAATGGAAAATATTTTACTGTATTTAAATTTAAAAGCTATTGCTTTGGGAGGGTAGACACTTGTATAAAATAAAATTGTGGAGATGATTTTAAGCGTGACTTAATTAAGATGACTCTTAAGTATTCAAATTCTAAGAGTTGCTATTTCTCATGGGTTTTATTTTTAGCTGAAACTGAAAGAAAACATCTGGGGTGCTTGCTTAAAGGTATATTAATCTTTGTTTTCACATTCATGTAAGTGTATCTGTGTTATGAACTGAATGTTGTCTCCCCTAATCCATATGTTGAAACCCTTAGCCCCTTTCAGAGATAGGGCAAATACTTTATGGAAGTTCTTTTTTTAATATTTATTTTTTAGTTTTAGGTGGACACAATATCTTTATTTTATTTTTATGTGGTGCTAAGAATCGAACCCACTGCCTCACGCATGCTAGGCAAGCGTGCTACCTTGAGCCATATCCCTAGCCCCTGGAAGTTCTTAAAGTTAAATGAGGTCTTGAGGATAAGGCCTTCTTGGATCCAGCCTCCAGAACTGGGAGAAAATAAATGTCTGTTGCTTAAACAACCCAGTCTATGGTATTTTGGTATGGCAGCCTGAGCTGGATAAGGCAGCCTGCAAAGAAGACTGCCCTTTTTCTGATGCCTTCAGGTGCCAGGTTACCCAGTAGTAGACAACCTGTTACCAGGTTGTCTGTCCTCATCCTCCCCCATAACATATGCAGAGCAACCAAAAACACCTATTTTACCTATTTTATTAGCCTGAAAATGTTTGATGTTCAATAATCCAGCTTCATTTCTTAGGTCACAGTACACACAGGTTGGAGTTTCTTTCCTCCCAAAGACCATGTCTGCTGATGCTTGAACTCCCTCCCCTTGTGATCCTTACCCTTGGACTGTTGTAGCTTCTCATCCTGAGAGGTTTGAGTGAAGAGAGTGATAGAGAAGCTATTGTGACCAGGAATGGGGATGATGTTGATATATCTTGCTTCTAGGCCTTACAGTTCCATTCCTGTGTTGTCCATAGTTTGGTCATGTGAACCAGGAGACCCTTTTATTGTTTTGAGTTGTGATTCTGTCTCTCACAACCAAAAAAGCACAAACATGTCAAACAAGCTGGGCTGGGGATGTAGCTCAGTGGTAAAGCACTTGCCTAGCATTCATGAGATCCTGGGTTTGATCTCCAGCATTGCAAGAAATAAAATAAAGTGTACAATTCAATCATCTTTAGTAAATATAAAATTTWAAAAAAACAAGGGATTTGTCCCTTGCTATAAATGTAAATATTTTTGAAGACTATATTCCTTTTGAGGGTATAACAAATTACCACAAACTTAGTCACTTAAAACAATGTAATTTTAGGGGCTGGGGTTGTGGCTCAGAGGAAAAGGGCTCACCYAGCATGCGTGAGGCACTGGGTTCGATCCTCAGCCCACATAAAAATTTAAAGGTATTGTGTCCACCTACAACTAAAGAATAAATGTTTTTAAAAAACAATATAAGTTTATTATAGTTCTATAGGGTTGAAGTGGGGAATAGGTCTTGCTATGTGAGTATTAACAACCTTAACTATCTGCAACCTCCATGGCCCTTTGCCATGTAGCCTAACATATTCACAGGTTCAAGGAATTAGGACATGACAACTTTAGGGGGCCATTTTTCTGTCTGCCACAGATAATATATTAAGTCTTATCCTGACTTACAGTTCCAGATGGATGAATTTATCTTGTGCTTTTCTTTTTTTTAAAAAAAATGTTTATTTATTTATTTATTAGACATAGATGGACACAACGCCTTTTTTTTTTTTATGTGGTGCTGAGAATCGAACCCTGGTCCCACCCATGCTAGCGGGTCGCTCTACCGCTGAGCCACAATCCCAGCCCCTATCTTGTGCTTTTCTGAGAGGAGATTCTAACAGAAAGGAGAAAAATAAAAAAATAAAAACAAAATATGAGGGATCCTGAGAACGGCAAGGTACTGAATAGGTTAAAAAAATGGGGGCGGGGGGGGGGAGAGCAGAAGAAAGAGGAGAACAGTTTGACAGCTAGGAAGTAAAGCTCTATAAGACAAGACTATTATTGGGCTGCGGTTGTGGCTCAATGTAGAGTGCTCATCTAGCATGTGTTGAGGCCCTGGGTTCRATCCTCAGCATGACATAAAAATAAATAAATAAAATACAGGTATTGTGTCCATCTACAACTAAAATTTTTTAAAGGCAAGAATATTATTTTTATAAAACTGTATTACTACTGAAAAAGCTTCATGAATTATCACAATATCACAGTAGTAAAGAACATAACTTAGTAATGTTGTATATTTGAAAGGCTCAATATGAAATTCCATGTGAGATATATTTATTTATTTATTTATTTATTTATTTATTTATTTATTTATTTATTTTAGATGGACACACTGTCTTTATTTAATTATTTTTTTAAATGTGGTGCTGAGAATCGAACCCAGTGCCTCGTACGTGCTAGGCAAGCATTCTACCACTGAGCCACGACTCCAACCCTTATTTATTTATTTTTGTGGTACCTGAGATTGAATTCACGGGGGCACTTAACCACTGAGACATATTCCCAGCCCTATTTTGTACTTTATATTTAGAGACAGGGTCTCATTGAGTTGCTTAGCATCTCACTGTTGCAGAGGCTGGCTTTGAACTCTGATCTTCCTATCTCAGCCTTTTGAACCACTGGGATTATAGGCAATAAATAGAACATCACCTAACTAATAATCCTCAGTAAAATCAGGAATACATAAATTATAAAAATACAAGAAAAAAATGAATAACAAATTTCACAATGTAATAATGAATATAAAATTTCTAATGAAACTCTTCATGAAAACCAGAGACATTATCATAGTTTCTGAGTCTGAGTTTCAGTGCTATGTTGAAATTGTATGTCATGAGCTGTTAACTCTTTAGCCCTCTGAATTAAAACAATATTCTCTTTGGGGTTTCACTAGGATAGTGCTGAGCTTTGCTAAATCCTGGGTGAATATCATAGCTTCTAGTTCGTGACATCCTGAGACTATTCTGGATTAACCTAAGAAGAGTCACTGTAAATTGCACCTTGATGTAYATACAGGATTGCCAGCATTTCAACTTCTACCTTGAAATTCAAACATGACCACAAGGTTGTATATCTACAAGTGCCTGCAGAAATTCTTATTAGAAATCTGAAATTACCAATGCTGTATAAATCAATCTTCCTAGAATCAGCCAGTTATTTATTATCCTCCACCCCAACCTATACTGACCAACATTTATGAGGCCAGCTGGCCTGTATAATATGTGAACACTTAGCAGAGCCTTTCAGATGTGAAATATATCTTTCATTAGGAAGTCCACAGATAAATTCTATTTCTTGGACAATCCATTTATACAAAGTGGTATTTCTGATTTCCCAGAAGGGTATTTCTGACAACCCTTTTCTAGTCCTTTAACTTTTTCCTCCTCCCACTTCCTCATTGTGGAAATGAGTCATACTTTCTTCCCAGTTGAGAGATTGTGGGACCTTACAGACATTTGAGTATTTGGTTTGATGTTTTAAAARTTCTTTACCAGGGRCTGGGGATGTGGCTCAAGTGGTAGCGCGCTTGCCTAGCATGTGTGAGGCACTGGGTTCGATTCTCAGCACCA